GCTCTCCATCGTAGTTCTTCAGGCAAATGATGCCTAGAGGTCATTATTACGAATTGGCTATCTCAGATTTTCAATGTCGCAATCACAGTAAAATTTGTGTGCTTTCTCTCAAACTTGGACTTTTATGCTCCAGGCAGATGACGTAAGCCGAGTGCAGCGCCACTAATTTGCATATTGCAATTTTACTCAGCTACTCTTAGTGGACAACATATGCAAATTTTGCACGGTTTGGCTTACTTTTGAAAGAGTTATCGCTATTTTTGTGATTTTTCCTTAATTTATGATAACCAGTGTATATACACTCGTGCGAAAGTTTTTGGTCAGCGCGGGAAAGGCATTTTAGTTATTCTATGCGGGGTTCTTTTTCTAGAGATGATTTCTGTTTTATTAAGTCAAGCCAGCATATATATTACACTTGATTTCCGAATATTTAATTTTCTTGCAATTTAATGGAAAATGTCATCTTCTTTGGATTAAATTTAAATCTTTGCACTCAGTTCAGTATAATATTTCTTTTTTTATATTATTCGAGTCTTGTAAGAACTAATTCTTCAAGAATAAATGTCAACAATATATTTAAGTTAAAATCATGATTTCCGTAAATAAATATGCAAAACTTATGCTTATTTATGAAAATTGTATCTTTCAATTTTTTTTTCATCCAATTCTTAGATATAAGAAAATCGCTTCACGAAAAACAAATAGCAGACTGATATGAAAATTGCATTAGATTTAAAGAGACTTTCAAAGTCTCTAACTTTACTTTCTGATTGATAAGCGCGTTAGGAATGTTTAGGAATAAAATTGTACATCATTTATTACATTTCCAATCAACCATCTATAATATTGAGTTTGCTTCGTTTTCTACTGTTTCGTTTTTTCGAACTGTGACTAATTTGAGATATGAAATAATTAGATAGTTATCCACGATTAAAACTATCCAGTTAAAGAGAATAGAAAAAAAGGATTATATCGTTCCGGACGAAAAGGTGCTCTATGATTAATAAAAGCGTTTTTCTGAACTCTTTTGCAACAAGGTGAAGGATCATTAATGGTTTGAGAACACTTTGGCTATGGAGATAAACTAACTCTTACTTTTCCTGCTGATCACATTGAGGCTATCAGCTACGAGTATTAAGAGAAAAATGCTAGAAACGCATGTGTTTTATTTGTGTTGTTGTTCTACATTTTGCAGTGAGCGAGTATCATTAAGATCCTGAAATTTCGGAATAAATAAAAACTTTACACAAAGCAGGATAGAATAAAAAAAACATTCTAGAACAAATTCATTATTTATTTGAGAATTTTAAATATGCGTAAACAACTCTGTAGCTCAAGATATTGCAACTATTGAGTTGAAATTTGATGTACTGACCTATTTTTGTTGCGCTCGACACAAAGCTTTTTAATTTTTTTTAATTTTATTTATTTATTTGTTTACTTTTAAATATACATTCGAATGATGCTATTGAATTTTCAAATAGAGAATGTGTTGTTATAAAATCTCCAAGCTTTTCATAATTTATGTTATCTTTCAACTTAAATTTTTATTTCTTGACGATAAACAAAAATAAATGCGAAACACAATCATTTAGTTAGAGGAGCAAAGCGGGCAAGTGAAGCATTTTACTACTTTAAAGTTTCTAACTTATTTTAAATAACCATCTCAAAATGTTTCTCAAACAATGCGTTTATTTTTTAACTTATTTCGCTTCTTATTTCATAGAAATTTGATGATAAAAATTATTTGAATTATAAAAATCAACCATATTAAACACCTTTGTCGAAATTACAGTCAATGTATCTGGGAAGTAAGATGATTTTAGTATACACAAAGTTTGTTTTTTAATAAAACGTATCATATTTTAAATAACAATCAGCTTCTCAAGGCAATGATTTAGTCAATCATAATTTAATACTCTGTTCTTAATATATTTAAGAATACAAACGAAGAACAAATTTGCGCTGAATTATATTCAATATTATATACAATTTAGTACTTATGAGTTTTTTTTAAGTAACTGCATAGATTTTATTGCAATTTTTTTACCTGGCGTAGTCCAAGCTAGGGAGAAGAAAGATATGAGTAAAATAGTTAGCATATTGAATAAAATTTGCGGTAATCATAATAAATTTTCTGAATTTCCTTCATTTTTATGAAATTTTTTATCTTATTGATTTATTTTTTGAAAGATTATAGAGATTATGTGAGAAAATAGAGCCTGTTAACATCAAAGGTTATCGTATTTCTGCTAATAACCTTATTTATCTCGATAAGAACAGCACGTTTTGAAATATTATTCAAATCAAATAGATAAAACAGTTTAAGATCAATCTACAAGCTACTAATGAAATAAAGGTACAGAATCATGAGTCAAAAATTATCTATTAAACTAAGTATTTTACATTCAAATTTTCCTAAATTAATCACAATTGAAAAATTGTCAATTAGGTACTTTACAACCAATTTTCATAATTTAATAGCAACTGGAAAATTGTCAACTAGGTACTTTACATCCAATTTCCATACATTAATAACAATTGGAAAATTTGTCACATTTAAATTGAATATAATTAGTTCGCTCTCTGGAATCTTCTTTTTCAAAAATCGTACGTGATGAATGACAATATTGCTGGAGAAAATGAATGTCAATTTTGGTTCGCGTGCGCAATAACATCTAAATGAATATAACATAGTTTAAGGATAGTTAAAAGAATAATAGGGACAATTTTGGATAACAGTAGATATTGGCTTAATTCCTTTGTATTGCTTTTATTCCTTTTTTTTAAAACTTTTTTTCATGTTTATGAAAATATCCGTCCCTGTTATAATGAAAAGAATTGCAAACTTAAAATATTTTGCGATACTTTGAAGTACCACTTTTGCTAAAAAATCCATCTAGGGAAAAATATTTCAAGAGATTTTAAAATAATCAAAGATTAAGTAGAAAAGATTTTTTGAAATTTAAAAAAAAAATTGATGAAATTGCAATGGTAATCAAGCAAAACGATTTGGTTTTAATCTGCGTATATACAATAAAACATTTGGAATTTTTTAAATTCAACATTTTTTAAGTTAGATGTAAGTATCTTTTACTGTCCAGAAACAGCAAAAACTTATTGTAGAACTAATCGTGGCAGCTGATGAGCGAATATTGATATATGATGAGCAAAAGGCGGATCCTCCTCATAAAAAAAAAAAATAAAAAAAAATACTAGCGTGAGGCAAGCTTAAATGTCATTTACATATTTTAGTGTTTTTTTTCCTTCATGAATATTAAATTTATACTTTTTTGAGTTTTAGAATTTTGATTTTTGTAGTTTTTGCACCGAGTAATCTTTTGGAAGAATTGTTCACGAAAAGTTTGAATGTTCAAATAACTCGCTTGATATTATTTTATTAATATCAGTCATTTAATAGCCGACCCAATTTCGTTACCCAATTTAAAACTGTTCATCTCCGTCCAATTTTTTGGGTTTACGACTATTAACGTTCAACTCCATAGCCTTGTACTTTTGAACCCAATCCAGATGACAAGGGAACTCCTGAATCAAGTATTGGAAGAAATTTTGCCTTCGTGGAAGACTTTTTGATGAAATTAACCGCATTTTCTTTTCATGGAGAGGAAAAACACGAAAACCTCTAAGGGTTAGCCCGATGACAAGGAAACTCTAACCTATGATCCGCCTAGGTAGACATGTGCGACAAACAGAATACGCTTTTGAAATATGGCTCGAACATCCCTTCCAACGAAGATCGCCGACATATTTGTAAACAAAATGGATAAATGAGTCTAAACCGAAGTAGAAACTGTTGAAAACTTACCTGAAGAACAACATTCAGAAGACATTCTGCTAGTAAATTCATATAGAAAACAGGGGAAAGTTTATCAATACTAAGAAAGTAAATATTAATAATAAAACAGCTTTGCTTGACAGAAGTTGTCAAGTTGGGATATATATTTATTCTACAATCATTAAGTTTTCATTTTAAATATCCATAGAACTGCAAAAGATTCTTAATTAAATGGTAATTATTTTTTGATGCATAACTCTATGGTAAAATACCAAAGGAGAAATGTTGCCATAGCTGTATGGCAAAGGTGTACCATAGCCTATGAAAAAATTTGCCATAGAAAAAAATGCCATGGGATATTCTTATGGGGTTTTGCCTATGGTAAACTTTTGCCATGCGTATATGGCAGAAGTGTATGGCAAATTTTTACCATAGGCAAAACCCCATAAGAATATCCTATGGCATTTTTTATAGCAAATCTTTGGCAAATTTTCCTAAGGGACCACTGAGGATATTGTACGTCAGCACTGTGGTCAGTGCGAGCTGAGTGTGGAATTCGTATAGAACAGTCATCGCTGGAATTTGAACCAGGTTCACCTCATTTGGAGATGAACGACACCCTATTCTCAGAGCCACAGCGGCTCAAACTCGCTTGATTGAAATTTTTTATCCTAGCAAGTTTTCCCATTATGCGAGAAAGTCCCTATAATGTGTTGTGTTACTTTTTCATGGAACACCAGCATAGTTTTATTTGAAAACGGTTTTTTTATCTACTATTTTCTCGCGTTTTTTTTTCTTTTTTAACATTTTAATATATTGCAAAAATTTCCTTAATCTTTTGCTAACTTAAGTGCGTGGACTCTTATGTATATTTTTGCGTTTCTAAGTTCTTTAGGAATTATTAATATCCTTTTGTCAGCAAAACGCTTCATGTGTTACAATAGCAATTAAAATGCACAAAATAAAAACGTTATAATGACTTTAGACCTAATGATAAGATTTATAAGCATTTAAAATGTAATTTTGTAAATATTCGAAGATGTAGGATTTAAAATATCAAAAAATATTGAATTTAAAGAAAACTGTAAAGATCTGCTATTATTTCTGATTTAGCAATTTCTTTTGCTGTAACTAATGCTACAGAGTCATTTATCTTTTTAACGATTATCACATTTTCTTTGCACATTACTAATAACAGAATTTTCAAGAAATTGCATAATTCAGAATAATCAAACCTTAGAAGAAACATGCTATCAATATATATATATATATATATATT